GATCCTAACCCTCTCTGCGGAACTCGCCTCTGGTGACGATCTGTTGTCGGAACGCAGGGGGGTCTCTCTCCACCTAGCCAATCAACCGTCCGCCGAAATAAGGCTGCCGTTTATTGTCTGACGACGGAAGGATTCCAGGCGCTGCAGCGGATCCAAGAGAGATCTCACGAAGACCCCTCCATCCACATGGCGTCCCTTACGTGGACCACTCTCAGCCACAGCGCGTTTGGTGAAGCCGGTCAGACCAGTGGTGCGATTCAAGCTCTTATGCTCGAACACATGGTTAGGTGAGCATTGAGTTGGCCGGCCGTACAAGACACGCATGCGTGTGGCAAAGTACCTAGCCTTAATCCCACACCACAAACGTGAAACACCCATGTTCCTGGTCAGATATCCCGAGCCTCCCGAATTATCTGAGGCTGTCAATGTGTGTCTGGTACGGCTTTCATTTGTGCGCGAGGTTCTTCAACGCCTCCACCACCACCCCCACCCTCCCCGCCAGGTTCCGCTCCTCATCCGACAACTCGAAGGCGCTAACGGGCGATGATCTACCTGACGTCGCCAAACTCGCTCACGATGCACATGACTTCATGGAACGGACTGAGGCGGCATTCGGCGCTCGTAGCGAGTGGTCCCCCGAGCTCGCAGTGTGAGTGATAACGTCGTATACCACACGTCATGTAGCATTACAAGGCGTCATGTCGGCACACTAGGCCCGTAGCAGTTAGCCGCGAAGGCGTGACAACTGTTTTTTCTTCCACTCAGCCAAAGACCTTTTTTTTCCTTGTTCTTGCCGCGGCTCATCGTTCGATAGGCTGGTAGAAAAGTACGCCTACGTCCAGTCAGGCGCTCTCGAGACAATTGTCCGCCCATGGATGAAAAAGCGGGATGACGAGGCGAACGAACTAAGGAGCAAATTGCCCGGCGACCGACGTTTGTCCGAAGACCACTTCCACGTCATCTCCGCCGCGAAACCCCTCGGCCGCATCCACAAGGTACCTACCCAGGATTACATGCCCTGTTATGTGTTGCGTATTCCCTCCTGTTTTGTGGCAGCGCTGTGCAAGAGAAGGCGTCTTTTGTCTTTGGACGACTATCGAGTGTTAGGAGTGCAGCGACTTAACCACTGTGTTTCTCGTCCCATATGGCGGCCGATTCGTTTGCCGGATGAAGCAGGCTGCCACTCAGAGTAAGACAGAACCGTCGACAACCCACTACGAGACATTCCACAAGCGGTTTCAGGAAGTCATGCTCGCCTACAACATTTCCGAGCTCGTCGCCGACACTTCATCCAGTCAAGGCTCGACGGAGGGCGACAATGGAGTTGAGGCGACGGGGACTGGCGTCAGAAGCGGCGCGGGGGGCGGGGAGGAAGGCGAACAAACCTCTGACGGAGAAGATGGGGATGTTGGGGGCGGAGAGGACGGAGACTTCGGAGACGGAGAGGGAGACATGGATGAAGAGG